AGAAAGAAAGAAAGAAAGAAAGAAAGAAAGAAAGAAAGAAAGAAAGAGGAAAAAAACACATGACTTCAAAGTGTAAGAGCTCCAGATTTGGAATCAGGAGCCCTGGGTTCAAATCCCCGCTCTGCCACTTACTTGGCTGGGTCACCCTAGGCACTCCTCTCTGATCCTCAGTTTTCTCATCCATAAAATAGGGATAATTCTACTTGCACTACCTGCCTCAGAGTTGTTGTAAAAAGGATATTTTGTAAAGCTAGAAGTGAGATAGTAATGGTTCTTAACCAGGACCCTGGGACAGGTAGCACAAGTAAAATTATCCCCATTTTATAGATGAGGAAACTGAAGATCAGAGAGGGAAAGTGATTTACCCGAGGTCACATAGCAAGGGGATAGAGCCAGGCTAGAACAAAGACTCCTAAATTCTTCTTTCAGACTAGATAGGTAGTCTCTAAGCTACTAGAGGTCAAGAACTGGGTCTTAGATAAATTGCTTGCACAAAGCAGATACTTTAAAAGTGTTTGTTGTATTATCTCTTATAGCTTGTGACGTTTTGCGTTCCAACATTCTGTGTTCTAAGGTCCCTTCCAGTTCTAACATTCTTTGATTGGATGAGATAAGCCTGATATTTGAAAAGAAAAACAGAACTGGCTGCTCATCCTCCTCCCCTGGCTGCATGGGAGAAATTCCACAGTCTAATAGAAGCTAAGGAAGGAGCAGCCAGGTCAAGGGCAGGCAGGGAGTTGATTCTGTGACCTAAAGGGTGAATTTTCTCCCCTATTAGGATGAGAGTCAGTGGTTGTCCAATCACTGCATGAAGATGGGTGATGCCTATGTAATTGTGTACTCAGTCACTGACAAAGTCAGTTTTGAGAAGGCCTCAGAGCTGCGCATTCAGCTTCGGCGTGCCCGCCAATCCGAGGATATCCCCATCATCCTCGTGGGCAACAAGAGTGACCTGGTCCGCTCCAGAGAAGTCTCTGTGGATGGTAAGCCTGCCACCATGGGAAGAGAGGCCCCAAACATGGGATTCAAACCCCAGCAATTGCATGGTTAAAAGACAGTGACACCCCCCCATTCCTCCCCCCCGCCCCCCCCCCAGGGACCCGCCAAGTTTCTAAATATAAGACAGAAAAATGCTGGCTGAAGTCAGGCTGCCTCTCTCGGCACGTCCGTTCAGAACAGTGCTCTGTGGGAGGTTGAGGGCTTGGTGGGGATGGGGGGAAGCCAGAGCAAGGCTTAGGGAGGTGGGGGTGGGGTTGAGTGGAGAGAATAGGTCTAAGACAGGGATCGAGGACAAAGCAGAGGGTGGTTTAGTTTGGTAAACCTGATGAGACAGCTTCCTCTGAGAGGTCATAGGGTTGTTGAGCTAGAAGAGTCCACAAATACCATCTGATCCAGCTCCCTCCTTTTACAGATGAGGAAACTGAGGCCCAGGGCAGTTAAGTGACTTGCCCAAAGGTACACAGGTAGTAAGCATCAGAGGTGAGATTTGAATCCAGGTCCCCTGATGTTAGAGGCCAGTATTCATTCTCTGAGCTTGGAGGTATAAAGACATATAACACAGACTCAGTTGCTCTCAAGGAGTTTACATACAGTGTAACAGGGAGAAAGGCATGTATACAAACATCTGTAAAACAAAAGAGAGAGAGACAATAATAAGATCCCTATTTTCATACCAGCTCTGGGAGATGCTAAGTATCTGTATGGTTATTTACATTTTATTATCTCTATTTTTAAGGCTACTCTGAGAAAGGAAGTCATTTTACTTACCCAAGGTCATGCATTTAGGAAATGGCAGCATTGCTGAAACTTGAACCCAAGTCTTTTGAATGTCCATTCTAGTGCTCTATTATAACATGAGATAAATGAGAGAGACAGAGACAGAGAAATAGACAAAGAGACAGAGAGACAGTGACAGAGAACCAGAGACAGAAAGAGAGACAGAGAGAGAGAGAGAGTTACCAGAGGTTACTCAGAGCAGGTCCAATGGGAAAGGAAGCCATCAGTCCCCAAATGTTTTTGTTTTCCAGGGAGCGTTCCAACCACAAGTGGCAGACAAATGTAAATTCCTTGCAAACTTTAAAGCATTATATAAGTGCTAGTTGTTAATATTCATTAATTCTCATTAACAATTATTAGTAATTAATAATGTATTATTGTTATTATTTCAAGTGTGAGAGGGACTGCGTAGGACCCACTGGGAGAGCTAGAAATTCCCCAGAATTGGAGTTCAAACCATAGGGTAGCTCTGAGCAAGAAGGAATCTAGGACCACAGGGGAACAATGGGACCCACGAGAGAGGGAAATTTGCTTATGGGCTCCTTTGAGCACTTGGTGACTTCTGCATTTTCTGTGGGATGAAATGACTGTCCTACAACTCCCTCCACTCCCAATTTCAAAGCTATGAGAAATTTGAGCAGCAAGAGTTCGATTTCCCCTGGATGTAGGATGGTCAGGGAAGCCTTCCTAGAGAAGGTGTCTAAGTTGGTTCTTGAAGGAAGGGAGGATCATTGGCAGATGGAAATGGAGGGAAGGGGAAGCTATTCCGACCACGAAGGGTCAAGTGAACAAAAGTACGAGACTGGAGGAGTCAGAACAACAGGGAACGGGGAGTAGCTCAGTCTGGCCAGAGCACAGGACACTCAAAGGAGAGAAGCTTGTTCATCATAGAGCAGGGGAGCCACCGAAGCCATTCAAGTATTTATTTGAAACTCACTTAGTAAACAATCCTATCTCCTTCATGGGGATAGTTTGAGGATTTCACTGTAGCAAATGGTTTTGAAAAGTGTAAGATACTACACAAGTACAAAGAATCATTTTGGGTTATTCAATCAATCAATAAACACTTATTAAGTGCCTACCATGTGCCAGGCATTATGCCAAGCACTGGGGATACAAAAAAAGGTGAAAGACATCCCCGGCCCTCAAGGAGCTTACAATCTAACCTGTTTGAGTGGAGATGAGGGAAGGAAGAGGGGAAATAGAAGTAATCCCAACCCTATGACACTCTTCTGAACAAGTTGTCTCTTGGGAAGTCACCAATGGCTTTGTTTCTCATGAAGATCCCAAAGCTATGCCTGCTCATATGGTCTAATCAAGGCTAGAAACAGCATATATGCTGTCAGAGCTGGAGAACATAGAATATTAGAACAAACACAAAATATTAAAGATAGAAAGAAGGTTGACTTACCTCTCTCAGCCTTAGTTTCCTCATCTATAAAATGGAGTGGGACTAAAAGGTCACTAACTCCATTGGTCTCTAAGAGCCCGTCTCTCTAAGTGTTTTATTTTCTAAGTTTCCCTCCTGCTCTAACATTTTACAGGAAGTGTTTCCCAATCCCTTTTAGTCTAGTGCTTTCCCTTTGTTAATGATTTCCTATTTATTCTGTATGTCTTTTGTCTCCCCTATTAGACTGAGTTCCTTAACAGCAGGGACAATCTTTTCCCTTTCTTTATCCCTTAAAGCACTTAGCACAGTACCTGGTACATAGTAGGCACTTAATGAATGCTTATTGACTGACTGATTCTATACCTTGGAGATCTATTTGAATCCTCACATTTGTGAATAAGGAGACTGAGGTAAAAGGCAAAAAAGTCACACAGGCTAGGACTGGTGATTAGGGCAATGGACTAGTCTTGTTCAGTAAGAAGTCTCTGGTGAAGTCCCGGGCCCCTTCACCCCCCACCCCCCGCCCCATACTTTCCTCTGGTCCCTCCTCCCTCATTGCTTCTTCTTTCCTCTTGGATCCACAGAGGGCCGTGCCTGTGCTGTTGTGTTTGACTGCAAGTTCATTGAGACATCAGCTGCCCTTCACCACAACGTACAGGACCTTTTTGAGGGCATCGTCCGGCAGATCCGGCTCCGGAAGGACAGCAAAGAAGACAATGCCCGACGGATGGCCAATACCAAGAGGCGAGAGAGCATTGGCAAGAAGGCGAAGCGCTTCCTGGGCCGAATTGTGGCCAAGAACAACAAAAAGATGGCTTTCAAGGCCAAATCCAAATCCTGCCACGACCTTTCTGTGCTCTAGGCAGAAGTACTATGGGGGAGGGGGGAAGGGGAGCACCCCAAGGGGTGGCATAGAGGTATTCTTGACAGGCACAGGGCCCCTATTCATGGTGTAGTGGAATGAGTGCTAGATTTGAAATCCTCAGACCTGGGTTCAAATGCTAGGACTCTGCCACTAACTGTGTGATCTTGGAAAAGTTACAATCTGGGACTCAATTTCTTCATCTACAAAATGAGGGAACTGGACAACTCGAAAATCCCTGACAGCTTGAAATCCATGATGCCTTAAGATTCATCAGTGATTCTGGGAAGTAAGGCTGGAGTGGCTGCCGTGGGAGACTGGAGGCCAAAAGCAGCTGGAGCTCCAACCCTTGCCCCAAGGGGCCTCTCCCCAGCCAAGGGGCCTGCCCCTCTGGCCTAGCTGGGGCGCTGGTTACTACAGAAGGGCATGGAGAGGGTGGCTTATCAGACATGACTGCACTGCCCCAGATCACCCCTTGAGAGAGGCCCTAGGACCTGGGTACGCAGGCCCGTACTTGTTTCAGACCCCTGTGGGGACAGTCCAAACCACATCCCAGCGGGAGAAAATAAATGGGGAGGGAGGGGGGAGACTTAGTTGACTATTTTACGCAGTAAGTTAATATTGCACTTCCATTTAGGTTGTTTGATGAATTTGTTATTTGTTTACATGCAGACTTTTATAATAAAGGACTATTTCCTGTTAAAGTTCATTCCCAGACAGATTATTTTCTTCAGGACCTTTGTCCCTCTGTTCTGTATTTGGTATGGCCTAGTAGGCCATGCCAGTCGCAGGAAGACCAAAGGATAAGCGTCCAGAGACACAGGTTTCTGGTAACTAGTACCAGCTGCACCATAATCCTCAGTGTGACTTTGGACTAATTGCTTCTACTCTCTGGGCCTCAGTTTCCCCAACCCCACGAAATGAGATAGTTGGACTAGATTCTTAAGGCCCTATCTAGCTCTTACCATTTTATGCTAAAGGGTCTCTTCCCACTCTGACATTCACTCATCCTTGGTATGTCCCTCCACCTTTTCTCATTTGTAAAATGGGGTAAAATAATCTCTGCCTCCCTCACAGGGGTGAGAACAAGGTATTTTAATATTCCACGTTCTAAGACCCTTCTCTGATAGTCTGTGTTTTCAAGTTCTTTCTGGCTCAACCAGTCCACGTTCCAAGGTCTCTTCCAGTTCTGACTCCCTGTATTTTAGGGTCTAAGAACTATAATCTTCAGCATTTTGGTGGGGTTAGTTTTTAGCTTGATTCTAACATGTATCAGGATCAGGTTAGAATATAAGCCTTTCTCTTCATTAGGGGCAACTCTTATGAGTGGCCTATGTGGGCCCTGCCCTATGGGAAAGCATTCAACCATCAGTATATTTGCACTCCACAAGAACAGACATCTAGAGAAATGTCAGTCTGACCCAGCATTGGGAGGTTGTCAGAAGAGGTTGGGATCCCTTCTTGGACTCTCCCAGAGCCAGAACTAGAAGGGGGCCGTTAGAGATTGCACTAGAAGAGCAATCTTCTCTGCCCTTGGCCCTGAGCTCTCCTCTGCCTGGCCCTGACTTCAGGGGCTGAGCTGGCTTCCTTCTCTTTGGACATAATCGAAATCTCCCAGTGGCCTGGAGTGGGTTCCTCCCTCTGACTGCACCTCCAGCCCTCCTCTCTCCCCATGGCCTTCTTCTATTCTTTCCATCTACCAGTCTGGGTGCTAGCTTACCCGGGCCACACCCTTAGCCAGCTCCCCATGCCCCAACCCCAATCTCTCCCATCCCTTACCCCAGGCACAGAAATTGCTAGACACATCTCTGGACTTGAGCCCCATGCTGTATGTTGGTGAGACCCTCCCTCTGGGTTATTGATCACAGCTCTCTGTCTTCAGTGGGGCAGGCTCAGACTCCTTTAAATGGGCTTTGTCATCCATTTAAACCTTCAACCCTTTCTTCCACCAAAGGTTTCCTACCCAACCCTTGGATCCTCAGAGCTGGGAATGGGCTGGGGATGAGGGGAGGACTCACCTTTTCTCAGTTTCTGGGGAACTCTGGAGGCTTTGCCCTGGTTTGAGGAGAGTAGGAGGTGGAAGGTGGGGTGGCACCTTGAGGAGAGAAATGGGAGTGGAAGGAAAAGTCCTTGCCAACGGCACA